CTGGTTTTCAAGTCGAGGCAGAGCAAAAACCCAAACAAATCAGACAGACAGAAAAAACAGGACAACCGCAATAACCCAGCAAAAAAAACTCAGACAGAAAAACAAAAAAAAGCAAACATTAAAGCAGAGGAAACCAGGAAAAACAAAAAATCACAGAAAACAAAAACATATGGAACAAACAGAAGCACCGACAAAAACTCGACGTGCTGGCGAGCACACACAGACCACCGAAACGACGCAGCAGCCCGCCGGCGGACACACCACAGGCGCCGACAATACCCCCACGCCACAGCGCGCGCGCTGCTCCACGACGAGCACGCCGACCAGGACACGACAGGACCCCTCTCAGAGGCGTTTTCTCGGAGGCGACGATCGGGGCGAATAGCCCAGGGGGGAGCAATGCATGTACTCCAGATTTCGTAATAAAGGGAGGGGGGTCTCATTTCGGGGGGGGGTCTCTTCCAGGCTATCTTGGAGGGCCTGGGGGGTCTGGGGACGATGTTTTGGAGGGTTCTCCCACGGGGGAGGTCTGAAATGGCTTGTCTTGGAGGGTCCAGACCCCCTCCCTTTATTACGAAATCTGGAGTATCCAGGGGCGCCGATGGTCTATGTCTTCGACAAGGCTCCCGGGCGAATGCGTGTAGTGCCTGCCCTGGGGCCATTCGCCCTTCTCGTCGCCGCCGATCTTTTCCCCACTCTTACTCTAAACGGCTTGTGAGCACAGGAAAAAATCAGGATGTCCGCCTGGGCCCCCGTCGGACGAGCGGAGATGCGAGCGCAGCGGCGCGCGCGGTGGCGCGCGACCCGCCGCTGGTAATAACGTGACTGCGCGGGCGTCGCGGCGACGACGACAGCGAACCCAACCCTCCCTCCTCCTCCTCCTCCTCCTCCTCCTCCTCCTCCTTCCCTCCTCCTCCTCCTCTTCCTCCTCCTCCTCCCGCAACCTTCTATCTTAAGGGGACGAATCATGACATAACATAACATAAAAGCTCGGAGCTCCGCGCTGATCTCTCGGATCCGGGCGCCGTCCATGGCGCGCTCCGCGCGACGGGGAGGGGGGCCCAGCGCCGATCCGAGAACGCCGCGCGGACCTCCGAGCTTTTCTGTTCATGCCATTCTTCGTGCCCCTTGTTTACCAGCCTGGAACATATCCCTCTCCCTATGTTTGACATCACCTCACCTCGATGCCGATCTTCAGGATTCCCTCAGTTTTGAGGGCCTATCCCTAAGACCTAAGATTGTCCTCGCTTTTTGCTCGCCCATCATAGGGATAGGGATACGTTCGAGGCTGGTTACCTGTAGATGTCTCGTGCAGCACCGTACACAGCTTGTCCCAGAGGCCACGGCCTCCTCCACCCGGTCTTCGCTAGCGCCGGACGCCCGTCGCCAGTTTGGACCGTCCTGGAGGCGTTTTGGGCCGTCTTGAGGCCATACCCGGCCGCCCTGGGGCCATCCCAGGCCGTCTTCGAGGCATGCTGGGCCATTCTGGTGTCTTTGGTCGCATGCATGGCCGTCTGGAAGCTCGGGGCGCGGATCGACCGTCTTCTCGCGGGCTCGGGGCGGAACGAGAGAGTTTTTTGCAAGGGGTCGTGGCCTCGGGTGAGAGGGGAGGATGCTCGCAGCGGACTGCCACTGGAGACCTCCCACATGAAAGAAGACGGCCGAAACCTGACCAGGCAGCAGTTGGCATTCCATCGCGCCTCATCTCGCCATGGGGGCACGGTGGCAGATAGCGAGGGCGTGATGTCCGAATGCGCCGCCGATGGGGACACGTCTTGGAACATGTTTTCGACTCTTGATGCTCTGCGTATCCGCATCAGCGTTCTGTGCACGTGCAACTGCGAGTTTGTCTTGCAGGTGCGAGCTTTGTCCGCCGACTCTGGCGGCTAGGTTTGCAAATTAGCCCCGTACTGTGACCCGGACGCCGCTTCCGCTCCCTGTCCGTTGCCTCGGAGCCGCTGACCAAACAAAGTATCCGCATCAGCCCATCCCGCAACCATGCCCATGGGAACAGCCCTTCCCGGGGGGCCGCGGTACTACCTTGAGAGCCCAGGGAGCAGAGGCCTCCTGGAGGCCTCTCGGAATGTCTTGGGCTGTCTCTCCTGGGGTCTCTTGGAGGTCCTCCAGGGGCCTCCAGGCGGCGGTTCGGGGCCTCTTGGGGGCGCCTTGGGGGCCTCTTGGAGGTTTCATGTGACAGCTTGCCTCTTGGCGGCCGCTGGGGGGCTTTTTGGGGGCCTCCTCTTGCGCGCTTCTTGGGGCACTGTATTGGCTCTCCTGGGAGCGTTCTGGGCCGTCTTTGAGCCATATTGGAGGCGATCGATCAACAAAGCGTGGGTCCTCAATTAGCCCCCCCCCCAGGAGGCCAACCTTGACCCATCACTTGATACAAATCAATGACTTGTGCCTTCTCGTTGTGCAGACGCCAGCTAGGCGCGCGAAGCCCGCAAGGTGCGCCGCACATGCCAGGTGCGCCACGCGCACCAGGTGCGCCACATTGGACAGTATGTCGACCTCCCACCATCCTTGTCAAGAACCAATGCAAATTTAACGGCGGGTTGGCGAGCGAACGTTGTGTATTGTTGTTTTGCAAGGGATGGTGGTGGTGGTGGTGGTGGTGGTGGTGGTGGTGGTGGTGGTGGTGTGTGTGTGTGTGTGTGTGTGTGTGCGTGTGCGTGTATACTGGCATTGCTGCGCACAGCAGACAATGTGCTGGCACCCCCGATGTCCCTGTCAAAACCAATTCACAGAGATCGCATGGCGTCCGCACGTTGTCAAGAATTTTGTGCAATTTGCACTTGGTATTGCTTTTGCAAGGAATGCTGGTGTGAGGTGATCCGCGTTGGCCCGCGTTTGTCGCCTGTAGTGTGGGGGAGGGGGTTTATTTCTATCAGGAGCAGCGACAACCCCCTCCTCGAAGGGGAAGAAGTGGGCTGGAAGAGGAAACGCCTTGAACAGCCTACGCCCTCAAGGGCCAGTGGAATTTTCACGAGGGTGTTCTTCGCAAGGGCGCCTCCCCGTAAGGGCGTCTTCGAGAGCACCTTCCCCTCCCGAAGTTCGTCGCCGGGGCGCCGTCCATGCCCCCCCCCCCAGAATTCTGGACGCCCGAAATGGGTACGGAAAGAATGGGTACGATGCCCAACAGCAGTTCTTGTCCATTCTGAACAGGACTCGCTGTCCGCGCCGCCGCGGCCTGTGTCCATTCGAGACAGGAGGCCGCCCGCCCAACAGCGGCCGCTGATGGTTTGGGACAACATTTCTTGTTGGGCATTATACCCATTCTTTCCGTACCCATTTTGGGCGTCCAAAAGAATGGATCAAGCCAGGAGACACCCTCCTTTCTTCAAATCGGTCGAGGTGCAGGGGGCGGAGAGCGCGGCTCGGTCGAGCGAGCTTCCTCCTCCTCCTCCTCCTTCACTTATCTTCCTTGCAGACGAGTACTCTCTGTCGCACCACACGGCGTGTCCGTCGGCCAGGTCGGGCGTTTTTTGCTGTATCTTCCTATGGTAGCACGAGGGGACGCCGTTACTCTTTGAAAATGTAGCCCTCGCGTCAGTCTCGCGCCCAACAGGTACACAGACTGAAGCTGGTGCCCAATCAACATGAAGCTTTCGCTGTAGCGCAGCGCCCAACAGTTACACGGCTGGAGGCCAGTGCCTGGTCAAATTCAAAGTGTAGATCTCGCCTTAGTGCCGCGCCCTGTGCATCCTGGCGCCTGGCCTTCTTCAGCCGAAAAGGTATGTGACCGAAAAATATGGGTGACCGAAAGGGTGACCGAACTCGTGATCGAAAACGTAGTGTGACCAAAATTGACACCGAAATTGGAAATCGCTAGGTTTCGAGCTAAGCATTTCGGTCACACTGGTGCGCATTCGGACAAATCGGGCGCTGGCTTCGATCACACTGGGTTAGTTTTTCTGGTACACTTTCGTTCACTGCCCCCCCCGATAGAGACGAGGCTGCGGGAAGTTCATTGAATCGCTTCACTCATTCTTCCGGCCCATACTGTATCAGTGTTGCTATGAAAATGTTGGCGTGCTCGTGGTGAGCGAGGAGGAGCAGGAGTTCGAGGAGGAGGAGGAGGAGGAGGAGGAGGAGGAGGAGGAGGAGGAGGAGGAGGAGGAGGAGGAGGAGGATGAGAGGGCATTCGTCGGTCTCTTGGGAGGGCTCTCGGGGGCATCTTGGCGGTATTTCTTGGACCTCCCAGGGCGTCACGGGGGCCTCTTGGGGTGTTCCTCCTCCTCTTCCTCCCTTCCGCCTGCCTGAGCCATGAGCTTTGCCCTCACCATCTGGTCGGGCATCGGCTCTGGCGGTTGCCCCCCTGGCCCCGCCGCGGGACTACCCGAGCCCTGCTCCGCTGCGGGCCATCCGCCGACCTGAGGCCTTTTTGGCAGCGCTCGACAGAGACGGCGACGACGAGTGGCGGCGCGCGCGAGGGGGGGCGCGCATGGGGCGGCCTTCTGAGAAGGCGGGGGAGCTTCAACGAAGTCATGGGGGCTTCTCAGAAGCCCTCCCGGCCTTCTCAAAAGGCCTTCTCGCAATCCTTCGGGTCCTTCTGAGAAGGCCACTGTTATCTAAGACCTCCCCCGCCTTCTTAGAAGGCGTCCCACCGCGCCGACCCCCTGGATCGCGCGGTCAAGACAGCAACAACGACGAGCGAGGTCCTTGTCCGAGACTGCAGAGAAGGCCGAGCGGGAGGAGGAGGAAGAGGAGGAGGAGGAGGAGGAGGAGGAGGAGGAGGAGGAGGAGGAGGAGGAGGAGGAGGAGGAGAGGCTCACGCAAGGGTGGCACTCGACGGCGACGATGACGACGGCGAGTGAGGTTCTCGGCCGCGATCGTGAAGAAGGAGGCGGAGAGCGAGGAGAAGGAGGAGGAGAAGGAGGAGGCGGAGGAGGCGAAGGAGAGGAGGAGAGGAGGAGGAGGAGGAGAGGATGGAGGAGGAGGAGGGGAGGCTCGTGCGAGGCTGGCACTCGGCGGCGACGACGACGACGACGGCGAGCGAGGTCCTCGGCCGCGATCGCGAAGAAGGAGGCCGAGCGGGAGGAGGAAGAGAGGCTGTTGCAGACGAGGAGCGCGCTGGCCAAGGTCCCCGCGGGCGCTGTCGTCGCCTCCCTGTCTTGCTGCGCCTGGCTCCGTCGTCGTCGTCGTCGTCGTCGTCGTCGTCGTCGTCGTCGTCGTCCTTGTCGTCGTCGTTGTCGGCGTTGTCGGCGTCGTCGTCCTTGTCGTCGTCGTCGTCGTCGTCGTCGTCGTCGTCGTCGTCGTCCTTGTCGTCGTCGTCGTCGTCGTCGTCGTCGTCGTCGTCGTCGTCGTCGTCGTCAACGTCGTCACGTCGTCCTTGAAGTCGTCGTCGTCGTCGTCGTCGTCGTCGTCGTCGTCGTCGTCGTCGTGGTTCTCGTCCTCGTCCTCGTCGTCCTCGTCCTGGTGGTCGTCGTCGTCGTCGTCGTGGTGGTGGTGGTGGTGGTGGTCGTCGTCTTCGCTGCCGTGGTCTTGCCATCGTCGCCGCTGGGGCCGTGACCCGCCTCCAGCCTGCAATCGGGGGCTGGCCTCATCCCCGTGCTGCTCGGCCCCGCTCCGAGGGTCATAACCACCCTGACGCCGTCGCGTCGTGCAAACCACGACGGGAGATTTTCGGCCTCTGATCGGTATCGTTTATCCGATCCCATCCCCATCCCCATCCCCTTCGAGACCCCCCCAAAATTTCACCCCAGTTGGGGACACACCCCTCGAAACCCAAAGATAACGACCCATATCCCCATCTAGGGGGGTAAATCGGCCAGCGGGGCCCAGGCCACGCCGCTGGGGATTGGGATCGGTTAAACGATGCTCATGTGAGGGCTCTTCCTGGGCCCTGGGACTGTCAGGAAACGAATCAGGACGTAGAGCCGGTGCCCAGGAAGAAGTCCAGACTTCTCGGGAGCCACGTGGCAAAAAAGATACGACGTGGGAATGTCTGGGAAGGAGGGTCGTGGCGGACGAAAAGGATGGGTGGGTGGAAACATGGGGGGTGCGAAATCTGCTGCGTGCGGCTGGTTTCGGCTCCGCCGCCCAGCGCGGTCCTCGACGCATGGCCGCCTTCAGCGCCAGGAGGCGCCAGAGAGACGAGCCGCATGCAGTTGCCGATTCGCGAACCCTCCTCTGCTGTCCCCCCCTTTCGTTCGCCCCGAGCTGACCAGGAGGAGGATGGGTACCCATGCCTCTGCTTTTGGCCTTCTCGGCATCCGTGGGCCGACTCTCGGGCTCAGAAGACGGACTCGGGCAAAAAGGCGAGGTGAGAGGACCGACATGTCCAGGCTGACGATGCCTAGGAACGACTCACGACGTCGGAGGCATGGCGAGAATCAGGATCCAGCTTGGTTTTTTTTGGGGGGGGCCGCGGGAGGACGAGGGATTCGCTCCGCCACTTTCTGATCGGGGCCACTCGCGTGTGCAGGTCTAGTCTTCGTATTGTTGTTTAAACTCCCAGTTGGCAGCCCTCCTCCCGCGAAGGAGGGCGCCCCTTGCATCTTCCAAGCAGCGTGCACTTGGGCGCTTTCCGTTGTATGGAGAAATGCTTCGTTACTGGGGAAACCAAGGTACCTATACCGCTGCTCCCCGGACCTCTCCCAGGGTGCGTCCTGACCAGAATTTCGAGGCGAATCCAGCGGTGGCGACGAGGGCCTCCCAGGAGGCCCTCCGAAACGGAAAGACGGGCGTTCTGACCAGAATTTCGAGGCGAATCCAGCGGTGGCGACGAGGGCCTCCAAGGAGGCCCTCCGAAAAGGGGAGACAGGGCGAAGGGAAAGAGGCATGGGTGCCTCTTCCCCCTCCGAGGTACTGCACGGGCCAGCCCCCTGGCGGGCAGCGGAGCCCGGCGGCTCGCAGGGGGCGCCCCCGCACGCGAGGGGGGGCGGTGCGGCAAGCGCGCACGACGACCGCGCGGGCCCGCCGCCGCGGGCCGCGCCGGGCCCGCCACTCCAAGTTTGCGCGTCCTGAGCACTCGCACGTGAGGGGGTAGGGGGCCACATGCGACCCCTACCCCTACCCCCCACGATCGCTGAGGGGGAGGGTGGGGTTCACGTCGCTCGGGAGCTCCCGAAGGAAGTGAACCCCACCCTCCCCCTCAGAAATCGTGGGGGGTAGGGGTAGGGTTCGCATGTGCCCCCCTACCCGGGGGGCAGCGTGGCTCTCGCAGGAGCGCCGTGAGCACTCGTCCTGGAAGTGTTTGCGGCCGCTGCGCAGTCCGAGGGCGGGCGTGGTTTTCACAGGGTGGCTCTCGCCCCGTCTTCACGGGGACGGCCAGCTGCGCTGCTGCGCGGGCCCGCCGCCGCGCTCGGGCGCCCGAGCGCGGCGGCGGGCCCGCGCGGCTCCTCTGGCCGCCTCGCCGCCGCCGCTGCGCCGCTGCCCTCCCCCGCGAGGCTGCGGCCCTCGGGGCCCTCGCTCGGCTCGCTGCGGGGGGGCCGTGTCGCGGCGGGGCGGCGGCCTGTGCGGGCGCGGTGCCGCTCCGGGCTCTTCTCTCTCTCTCAGGGGGGGGGTCCCTCCGACGCGCGCTCGCCTGGGCCTCCTCTGACGAACGAACAACACACACCCATACCCATAGGAGGGCCGGAAGGAGGAGGACTGGCTATGGGTATGGGTGCGAGTTGTCGGACCCTGGGGGAAGCTCCCGTTCGTGCGGGGACCCCCATCCGACAACACGCACCCATAGCCCCCTCCGTCCCCCCCATGGGTATGGGTGCGTGTGGTTCGTTCGTCATCCTCGTCGGGCGGGCGCCGGGAGGGTCGGCCCATCGGTCGCTGACCGTCGGCATCTATCGGGCTTCCCGGTTCCCCATCGGCTCCAGCCGCCCTCCGACCTCAGGGGTCGAGCGGCCTTCCCTCGTCCCTCCTCCTTCAGGGGGCGGGCGGCAGCCCAGTGTCTGCTTTCAGCGCCTTCTCCGCTGCACGGCTCGACCCATGTCTCCCGACCGCTGCGAGAGTGTCCCCGCGCCGACGACCGCGGCCACGGGCAGAAGCCGCGCTGGGGGCTGCCACGGGGGCCGCCCCCCCAGGGCGGGCCAGAGAGGCCGTCGGGAAGGCCCAGCTCCCCAGGGCTCATCTCGATTTTCCCGATTCGACTCGATTTCGATGGCCTCCCATTCTCGTTCGATTCGGCCTCGGACTTCGACGCTGTTGTGATTCCTCAATTTCGGCCTACTAGCCTGCCGAGCTCTGCCGGATCGACTCTTCCCGACCTGGCTGCCGATGTCCGCCAATCCCATTCGTGTCGATTGCCGATCCGACTTGTCGATTCGATTCTGGGGCTCTCCTGGCTCTCGGGCCTCCAGCGGGGGGGGCATGGCGGGGGGTGGCCGGCTACCCGTACCTTCGTTTGTGGGATGGCTTTTTTTGTCGGAGAGCGAAAGCCGCAGGAGTCTGGTCGAACAGATGAAGGGTTGTGGGGTTCGACGCGTCGGGGGGCCGCAGTGATCGCTTCGCAAGGAGCGCAGCAACGAACAGAGGAAAGGCGCGACGCACACCAACAGCTGGCGGTGGCGGGCTTCATTCAGCATGAACAAAGCCATGTGCGGTGAACCCGAATGGGGCAGGGTACGGTGACGAGCTCGATGGGCCTGGCAGGGGTCGACGTGACGATGGCCGCCGATGGTCTCGAGTCGGGGTTTTCGACGCAGCCTGCTAGACTGGGAGGGAGAATCTGGCCTTCGTTCATCGTCGCCGGAACCATCGGAGTGAACCGCCCTTCGCGCTTCGCGGTTCGGCCCCGACTCCTCCGCGTCCTCCTCGTCTCCCCTGGGGGGCGGCGGGCGCCCTTGGCAAGCTGGCTTCCCCAGCGCACCGTCCACCCGCACAGTAAGGGTGTGCAGCTATTGGCAGGCTGCCCTTGCCTTGCAGCCGTGCCCCGACGGCCCATGCCTGGCGGCTGTCGCTGGCCAACGTTCGCGCGAAAAAAACGCCAGCATGGCTTTCCCCAAGGCCCCGGCGTCCTTACCGCGCATCCTCATTCCGGTAGGTTTGCGTCGTGTCGACCGGCGGCGACCCCGCCAGCGGCGTTCAACCTTGAACGCCGCGGGCGACCCAGAATCGTTCGATGTGGAACGATTTGGACGTTTCGGAAACGGCTGATCCTTCAAGGTTGAACGATCCCCGCGGTGTCAGAAACCAACGCCGGGGTCGACACGACGCGAACCTGCCGTATGCGGTCTGACTGCGCATCCTCTGGGTGATAGGCTTGAGTCGGGCATGACCCTCTGCAGGAGGAACCTGCGAGAATGAACAAAAGTTTGGGCACGATGCCTTGTGATCTTTTGATAGTTTTGTATGTTTCATCCACAAATCCGCCTGTAGGAGGACATGCCCGACCTAATGATGAAAGAGGGTGCACAAGACCGACAGCAGCTCCTGCTCATTTGCAGAGGAACTCCCCCCTCCTCCCTCCTCCGCTTCCCCCTCTCCCCTCCCCCCTTCCCTCCCCCCTCCCGCCTCCTCCCTCTTCCGCTGGTAGGACACGCTGGGGCGAGCGTGTCAGGCACCTAGTGGCAAGCGTGAACTTTGGAGAAAAAAAACTCCTGTTCGTTTTGCACAGGGCTCGCTGCCGGTGTCGCCGCGGACTGCGTCCACCTGCGACATAGGGCCGCTTGCCCAACAGCGGCCGCTGCTGGTTTCGGACCGCATCTTCTGCTGGGCACCGTGCCCGTTTTTTCCGTACCCATCTCGGGCGTCCAGAGATTCTGCTTGCCCGGGACGGCTGCGCGGTGAAATCCTGTGCCCCGTGGTCGCTCCCCATGTACAGTCAACTCGCATTGTATGGATGAGCGACTTTCCAAGGCCCATTCTCTGCCGCTGTCGCTTGCCGCGCTCCGCTGGCAGAGTGTCGACGTGGCCTTTCAAGGCCCTTGCATCTTCAAGGGTGTGTCTTTAGGTCTACGCGTCGACTGCATTTCAGGTCTTGAGCGACAGCTCGTCGCTGTCCTGGTCCCTCTCCTGCTGCCTCGCGGGCGCCAACTGACGCTGGGCCTTCCCGGGCCCGTGCTGGGCCCAGGATCGGTTGCAGCCTCTTGGGTCGGACAGCGCCGGGCGACGGCGTCACACCCTTCCGGAGCACAGGATCGGATGGGCCAAGCCAGGCTCGGTGCTGGCGGGCGACTTGTGCGCTCCCGAGCCGCTTCCATCGAGGAGCACACGGCGGCGTAAGCATACGCTGCAGGAGGGTCACGCGGGTCTTTTTGGATCGGCGCTGGACCCCCTGGCGTGGGTGGATCCCACTGACAGCGCCGATCCAGGAAATCTGCGCGGACCTCTGCAAGTTTCTGTTTGTGTGGTTTAGGCTTCTTCGATTTCATCCCGTCTGTGGCCACCGGTCGACCGATATCCTCAGCGCCCGACAAATCCTCCAGATTCGTCACCTCTCAAAGATTCCAGATTTGTCCGGGCAAGCCAGCCATCTTAGGCGGGGGATTCTTGGGTCTTCTGGGGGCCTTTGTGGCGCTTCTCGGACTCTCCGGGATGCATGTGGCAGTGCCATCTTAGTGCCATCTTGGCGCCTCTCCAGGCTATGCTGGGCTGTCTTGGGCGGTGCCTGAGGCCGCGTAATGTCAGGAGGTGAAAAACAGACAGACACGATGAATCGCCGAGTCTCAGGAAAGTATGGGAAGATAGGGGAAGTGGGGGGGGAAGACGAAAACCCAGAAAACCAGGAAGACGCATATGGGGAGTCCTGGGAGTTGTGCCTACTCGTTTGTGCGTCCCTGGGCCCCTTTATGATGGCTACTCTGGGACACTAGCATTTTCGTGCGAGTTTGCCCTCCGCCTGCTTTCGCCTCGCCCCTCGCGCGCCAAGCCCCGGCCTCGGTGCTGCCAGAGGGCAGAGGCCCGGGCCCGAGCTGGCCCCGGGCCTCTCTCCAGGGAGAGGCCCGGGTGGTATTCAGCGCGCCTCCCTGCGAGGCCCAAAGGCCGGCGGCCTTGCGATGGGGGGGAAGTCAAGGGAGGAAAAACCACCCAGACCCCGACAGTTGGCGTTTACTGAACGGCCGTGGGCGTTTACGGAACAGCCCTGCACTGTTCGATTCCTTCCCTGGGCGCGTTTGCCAAACGGCTTCGCTTGTCGGGGTGCTGATTATGGGGAAGGATTTTCTGCCCTCTAGGAAATGAGAAAGAAACGGCCTTCTTGGAAGTCGGCGGGACTTCTCAGAAGCCCTCGCGCCTTCCGAGAGGTTCCGAGCGTGTCTTCGGGGAAGGCTCAGAACTCCTCTCGGCAGGCCGCGGGACTTCGAGCCTTCTGAGAAGGCCCGCCCCTTCTCACCCCCCTCGCTCGCCGCTGCCTCCAGCACGGTGCAATCGGCTAGCGATAGGTCGGGCGTGCCCCCCTACAGGCGGATTTTGGAGAAAAGCTGAAAATAGTCAAAACATCTTCAAGCATAGGCAGAACATGTTTGAAACATTCCTGGACTATTTTTGAATATTCCTCCTGTAGAGGCACCCTGGGCCAGGACCACAGCGGGCGGATCCAGGACTGGGATACGTCGTTCCAGAGCGCTCCAGAGCGCCCCGGGCCAGCCGCGGCGCCCGACACGCCTCCCAGACCTGCCAGATCTCAGCGATCCCCGGCCTGACCCAGTCCGATTTTGGCCTGGCCCTGGCAGCACACGCCGGTCGTGGAAGGCAGGTATTCTTGGGCCCCCGGACCCCACTCTGCTCTCGGCGCCCTCCTGCTTCCAGCGCCGACTGGTGTCTTTCTGCCCTCCGCTTCGGGGGGCGGGCGGAGGTCCAATCTGCTCCCGACGCCCTCCTGTTTCGTGCTCCTGCTCGGAAGCTGGAGCATGCACATTACCAGTGGCGGGCGGTTTTTCAATCCCAGGACTCTTTTAAGGGTCGGGGACGGCGTCGGGGTGGTGTGGTGTATATTTGTTTCCGCGTTCTCCTGGGGAACCAACGAAGCATGTATACACCAGGATCCCGTATACACCAGGATCCGCTTTCCTGTGCGAGGTTCAGTGTCAGGCCAGAGAGAGGCGTCGGTGTATAGAGTTCGGCTCCTTACCTACCCGCGTCTCCCGACTGACGTGTGCCCGATCCCGTGCCCCCGGCATCAGCTCTTCGAAGAGATCGACGACGACAACAGCGGGACCATCGAGGAGAGCGAGCCGCGGGCTCAGCGCCGTCGCTCGGGCTGGGGCGAGGGCCGCAGGCCCGGTGGGTCGGGGGAC